AAAGAAAACAAGAGAAAGTCCGGCATAAGGCGAAAAAAAGAGAAGAAGAAAGGAGAGAACGTCTTCAGCTTAAGTCAAAACTAGTGAGTAGCATTGGCATTCAAACTGATCAGGTAGCGTCAAGTCAAATTAAGTCGAGGGGTGCACAAATGGTTATTGCGAGCCGTGAAAGAAATCCCAACGTCGTAGGAAAAGTAAATACTCAAACAGCAAAGCCTGTCGTCGTTTCAAAGCCGGCGTATAAAAGTGCACCACTAATAAGGAACCAAGACTTGACCAAGCCCGCGGAGGGATATCCAGTGTCGGTAGGCGAGGGGAGCTTCGGTACATGCGAGTTCATGTTTTATCGAGGAAATATTCCAGTGGTTGTTAAATCGTACAAGTCTCACGTTTCCCGGGATGAAGTAAATGCAGAGGCTTCATCACTCATGGAATTGCAAAAGCCAAGCCCTCATCCATGCTTGCCCTTACTCCTGGGAATCCATGTAGCTGATAAGCCATACCTCCTTGTGACTCAGTTTCACGGAAATGGGCAAACAAGCCACACTGTATCAAGTGCAATCCGGGCCTCCCTACTGGAATCGGGCAGGGAGTGGTATCTTTTCCTTGAAAAGCTCGTGAAGGCAGTTTCTTTTATGCACTCTAAACAATGGCTACATAATGATATTAAGCACAATAATGTAGTTTGTCACTTATCCCAGAAAATTTGGCAGCCGGTTCTGATTGACTTTGGAAAGAGCTTGAAATTTGTAGATGCAAGGAAAACCTCAATGAAAAGGTGTCCCAAAGATTATCCTTGGATTGCGCCCGAAATCGTAAAGGGGGAAGCAAGAAAGAGCATCGAGGGAGATGTTTTCTCTCTTGGATATCTTATGAAATACGTAGCCCACAGGGTCGCTGAGTGCCGCAGTGCACATTTCTCAGATTTGTACAACAAATGTATGAGCATCATTCCTTCTCACAGGCCTTCACTACAATTTGTCGCTAGAGAACTTCACGAA